TTTTCAAACGATTGTAACTCAGCGAAAAATGATCGTACAAAAATTTAGAAAAAAGCGTTTTGAAGCTCAAAGTTTCAACTTTAACGTACAATCGATAGTTTTATATATATACAGGGTGTTTCAGACCACCCATACCACCCATTTAAAAACTAGAGAAGTGGTTATTTCAAAAAAGTAAAAACATTTTGTTTATAAATTGGGTGCGCTCTATCGAATGGTGATATTTTCAACTTCTGGTTCCGGCCGGAAATAGGCGATTCAGACCGGAAGTGCATTTTTTTAAACGGAACCTCCTAATTTTCATTGCATATTCTTATAACTTATTTCGAGAGCTTTCCAAAACACTATAATAAATTATTTTTCCATGAAGTATTATTCGAGTTATGAGGCTTGAAATCATTTCTTAATTTTACATAAATCATAAAATATCTTTTAAAATATTCATTTTTCGATTATCTTACCTTCATACTTTTATGTGCAAAATAATGAGAGGAATTAATTGGTGTAAAGAAAATACATAGTTACTTTTAAGAAAAAATATGGAATTGTTAATTGCAAATTACTTTTGTTTTTCATTGTGTTTCAATGCAGTGCAATGACTTGAAAAATGTAATAGCGTTTGTGAAAAATATATAATGGGCGAGGACTTCGATATACAGAGTGTATCTTAAGAAACTCGCACTAAACAAATAGCGTTATTCCTGATTAAAAACCAAGTCAAAAAGTCCTGAATCATTTTTTTTCCAAGATTCATTAAATAATTAATCAGATATAAGTATTAAAAAGATTTCTGAAAAAATGAATTGTTTAAAAATTAACACAAAACTGTTTTTTGCTTATCCAAATCTTCAAATATGTTGGTAACGGGGAACTTTACTCATTAATTACTGCTTTATTAAGCATTATGGAAAAAAATGGTTTAGAACTTTTCGACTCGGTTTTTAATCAGAAATAACGCTATTTGCTCAGTGGGAACTTTTTAAGATACACCCAGTATATCGAAGTTCTCGCCCATTATATATTTTTCACAAACGCTATTACGTTTTCGAAGTCATTGCACTGCATTGAAACACAATAAAAAACAAAAACAATAAAGAGATTGTGATTGGAATAATCGTATCGTATACAAGAGAACTCATTATTAATCACATATAGGCGTTAATGTTTAAAATTTGGGTGGCATAAATGCCGATATAGATGTCAAATCAAATTTACGAATAATAAATAGAATTCTATGTTTTCACGTTTTCCGCACAAACATAGCTGCACAATTACTCATATCTTTAAACAGAAATGTGGGAAAACATTTGAATTTGTCAATAAATTTCATTATATAAGTTACAAAATATCGTCATAAATGTAAGATTGTGAGCTAATGGAATGAATTTTTATTGTATCGAGCATTTTCGTTTTTTGTTTCCTAGCACTTTCAGGAATATAATATTAATAATGAGGCTAAATTTACTAAAGCAAGTAATAAGAAAATCATATTCAATGCCTAAAATTCGAAATTTAATTTATAAAAACATTAAATTTTGACATTTCGCTTTAAATAATAAATGTAACAGTTTCCTATCTATCCTCTCAATTTTAAATAATTTGTTTAATTAGATAGAATTTGTTATTTAGAATCTTTTATTGGAAAAGCAGTAGACTAATTGTTACGGACTAATTGTTACAGTAACAATGAATTTCTCATTTCGATATAAAGAAAATCAGAAGCCATATGCTTAATTGCTTTTAAATTATTTAAAAGTTGTCAATCAATGATGAACAAAATAAATTGAGATAAAAAATAATAGCTCCAAATAAAATAATAATGATATATAAAATATAAAATTTTTATATGACTTTTTAACATATTTCATAATATAAGAAAACAAAAATGTTAAAATAACTATCAAAAATAAAACACGTTTATACCAAATATATTTTATTTGGCAGTAAGGTAAATGTTAATATTTATAACGGATAAAGAAAAGGATAATCTATTAATCTGTTTATTAAATAGTTTTTTATTAAATGTTTCTTATTTAATGTTTATCTCGATAATTTATATACGACTCTCGATCTTAAATACACTCGGCAATAAAAATACTTTAATACACGCACTAAATGGTCTATTTATACGTCTAGTTTGAAATAATCTATTTAATATTCTGAATTCCAATAAGGGATCCAGATCATTAAACAAATTATTTTAAATCAAGTCTGTTCATCAAAAATTAAATAAAAAGAAACAAATATACTTTAAATCTTATGTTAGTTCTTTATCAATCCTTTAAAGACTTTATTTTTACCCATTTTATGATGAAAATTTAAATACGAGTTAGTTGTATTTGTCGTCGCCTAGCGGCAAGCAAAGAAACATATGTAATACACTATTATACATTTTTGTTATTTGAAAATGTTGTTGCATATATATATAATATTTTTGTTATTTGAAAATGTTGTTGCATATATATATAATATTTTTGGATAAGTAAATTTAAATATATCCAAAATGCTTATTTATTATTTTTTTTATCGCGGCTTTATAGTAAGTTACATACCTCTTTTGGGCGTAAATGTAAGGCTATTCGAATCGTAAGTTAACGGGATCGTACTTCCCGGATCAAGTTTGAATTTGAATTTCGACAGAAGACTTACAAGTCCAACCTTGCATATAAGCAAATCTTGAACCTAAAAATTAATAATAATAATGACGTAAGTTTGACACATTGATAAGATAATAGCGTAATATTCTATACAGCACAGAACATTGCAGCAATATTGCGACAATATTCCAATGTTGTTGCATTATTACAAGAATATTAATAATATTGCTGCAATATTTTGTGTAATATGATACTGATAAGATATATTGATAAGGTAGATAATTCACATTTGTTATAGTCATTGCATAGTAAGATATTACACAGATATTACATAGAAAAATAATTAATAATTTATATATAATTAAATATAATTTTTTTTGGAACTATTTAAAAAATATTTAAAGTTAATGAAATATAAATATATGTTATAGTCCGAAAGACTATAACTTCATTTTTTAGCAATTTTATATACTAAATTAAAAGGTAAAGCCATGCAAGATTTCGAGAACGCGAAATATACAAACGTTCGAAGATTTAAAACAACAACTTGAAACGTGTTAAATTGCATAATTTTTACAGTTTTACATAACACTTTACTTTGAAATAGTCTTGGTGATCTGCAGCTATTATATACTATAATAATTTTTAATATCAAATTATCTTCGTGTAAATTGTACAAATTGCAATATGTAAAAAATTTATGTACAAGAAGAAAATTTTAGTAAATTATTATATACATATATTATAGTAATTTTTACTATAACAATTACTCCGTGTAGAATGTGTACGTATAAACACACACACGTGTGTGTGTGTGTATGTGTGTGTGTGTGTGCAGGCGCGCGCGCGCGCATGTGTATTTACCATATAACCCTTTAAATAGCATAAGATTAATTGCTGGTCTGTTCGTCCTTTTTCCTGTTGCAGAATAATTTGCAATGCTAGAACTGTATACGTCTAATATCGTTTCGCGCACCATTACTTTCCAATCTTTATTTAAATTTGCCTTCATTTCTAAAAATGTTTTCTTTTTTTTGGATAAATAAAAGCCACAATTTGTTGCTATTTCTTCCTGAAATTATTAATATTAAGAAAATTAGAAGCAACTAATTATTAAAGAATAAATTAAAATATAAATAATTAAAAACATAAAATTAATTTAATATATTTTTACTTTGTCTTCAACCGTCTCAAAATAATGATTTGGTAACTGCAAAAAAAAATTGTTATGTACTTTATACATATATTATTTTTTCCATTTTTATATTATTTCGTTTATATTATGATATTGTTATTATTGATATTTTTTATTAGCCTTATGAAATTTTATAAATATATATATAAATGCAATTATAATTTTTTTATTATATTCTATGTATGTGTGTGTGTGTGTATGCGTATGTGTGCGTGCGTGCGTATGTGTGCGTGTGCGTGCGAGCGCGCGCGCGCGTGCGCGTGTACATGCGTGTGCGTACGTGTATTATTATTACCGCAAAAATTTCTTCTGATTCAACGTCCATTTTCTTTTGACTTTCGTAAGCATTTTTCATCATTTGTAATATCAATTGTGTTCTTGAAAACAAATATCTCTTTTTGTGACTGGAAATGATAAATTATAATTTATAATTAATGCGAATAATTAAAATTTATGAACAAAATTAATGCTTACTTATTCCATTTGGAAGCCCTAAAAATATTGTATTCTGTTATAGAACGCTTAATAACTGCTGTCTTATTTCACAATCAAATTTATTTAACAATCACATATATTTTTGCGTAATATTGTTCTCGCGTGCACACGCATTCTCGCCATCTTGCCATCTCTCCTTATTTTTTTTTTCGCGCTCTGCACCTCCATCTAGCGTTACAATCCTTAATATGCCGCCTCCCTTGAAAGAATCATCTTTCAACAAAATTATCGTTTTCAATCCATTCCATTCGTATTGCACGAGAGACTTGCACACAACTTAACCTACATAAATGCTATGATAAAATTAAGAAATGTAAAGAAACATTAAATTGCGAGGTCTTCGCTTCTGCTAAAATAACTCCAAATAATATTGAATTCTTAATTTTACGGATAAAGTTAAATAATAATTGCCTCTAAGAAACATAAATACGAAAACATAATTACGAGAAATAAATAAAATATAGTATATAATATAAAATAAATATAATAAATTTGCGGAACTTTATTATAATAAACAAATAATAAATTCTTTGAACTTTCTCGTATTCTTCTTGCTTTTAGTCTATTAATGAATCGGTAGGAATGGAACACAGCCCTTTCACAGCTCTCTTAAAGTCTCCATTTTTCGTTTTAACCGTGACCACACGCACGACTCCGTCTAGTCCTGGATGTAGCTCGGATACTCTGCCTAATACCCATTAAAGAGGAGGTACGTTATCGTCCTTGAGCAGAACCAAAGCGTTCAACTCGATATTTTTGCTACAGGTTGTCCACTTATTGCGTCTTTGAAGTTCTTGCAGATACTCGTCTGCCAACGTTTCCAAAATCGTTAATGTAACTTGTATATATGTTGCCAACGTGGCAACCGATTATCTGGAGTTCCCAGATAATTATTCTCGACAGGTTGGCTTAGTGAGCCGCCAATAAGGAAGTGGGCTGGGGTTAATGCATCAAAATCATTAGGATCATTGGATAGTGGTGTGAGAGATCTCGAATTTAAAATCGCTTCGATTTCCGTTAGCAGTGTAGCGTATTCTTCAAATGTCATCAGTCTACTCTGCGTCACCGTATAAAAATGTCTTTTAGTTATCTTTACTGCCGCCTCCCATATGCCTCCAAAATGAGGGGCACGAGGAGGAAAAAAATTCCATACGATACGCTGTTGAGCGAGATTTGTTTCTATTTCCCGAGCTTCCTTCTCAAGAAAGCGGTATATCTTTTTCAATTCATGCGAAGCCCCGACAAAGTTTGTGCCATTATCGGAAAATATCTGAGAGCATATACCTCGTCGGGCAGTAAAACGACTCATGGCTGCTAAGAATGCTTCCGTAGTTAAATCCGACACGAGTTCTAAGTGAACGACCTTTGTGCTGAGACACGTAAACACGGCTATGTATCCTTTCGAAACATGAATACGTCCACGACGTCGACTTTCTCGTACTTGCAGAGGTCCCGCGTAGTCGATCCCGGTGTGGGTAAACGATCTAATAAATCCGCTTACTCGTTGTTTGGGCAAATTTCCCATTTTTGCATCCTGTACTGTTGGCCTAAATTGAAAACAAGTCAGACAGCCTTTAACAAGCTTTCGCACTTCTTGTCTGCCACATACTGGCCAATAACGATTCCGAACTACGTTGAGAAGCTGCTCCGATGAGCAATGATAATGTCTAACATGCTCACTGCGTATAATCAAACCGATTACAAAATGCTTGGCCGGCAAAATTATTTGATGCTTTTGTGTCCAGGGTAGATTTGAATTTCGGAATCTCCCTCCCACTCGAATCAGACCGTCTGTATCCAGGAAGGAATCTAATCCTCGTATTTGGCTTTTGCGTGAGATTTCTCGTTGCTCCTTCAAATCTCGAATCTCTTGACGAAATGTTTCTTGTTGCACCAATTTTACTATCGCTTTTTCAGCCTCATCGCATTCTTCAACCGTCAATGGACCGCCAATTTTCTTCTTGTTGAGAGCGTTATTCTTGAATAGCATGCAATACGCAATCACCCGTTTGAGCTTGTCAAAGGAGGAATATCTCATCAATACGTAATCCTCCGTTGTCTTCATTGTCATCGTTGTGGATTTCATTTCCGGTAGATTCATTTCCGCCTCTTCTTCCTGTTCGGGTCGATAAGAATCGGATTTTAACCAGTGGGGACCATTCCACCAGAGGCCGCTATTCAATAGCGTGTCCACGCTGACCCCTCTCGTGATTAAGTCAGCAGGATTTTTTTTAGAAGACACATGATGCCAGGCAATATTTTCCGTCATATCTTGAATTTTTGAAACGCGATTCGCTACAAACGTCTTTAGCGAGCAGGGTGGACTTTTTATCCAACCAAGCACTATCGTGCTGTCACTCCAGAGGGTAACTTCATCGATTCTTGAACCATACGAATTTCGCGCTATTACGTATAATCGCGAAAGTAAAAGCGCGGCTTCAAGTTCTAATCTGGGTAATGAGATTGTCTTCAAAGGTGATACTTTCGATTTCAAGCATATAAGATGAGAATTGACTTATCATTACTGTCGGTACTCACTGCGTACAAACATGCTCTGTATGCTTTTTCTGATGCATCGCCGAATCCAACGACATTGAATTTCTCCGAGTTTCGCCTTGGAATTACATTTCTCGGAATTCGTAATTCATTGATTTTCGGCAAGGAGAGATAGTAACTTTCCCACGTTGCGCGGATATTTTCGGGTACACTTTCATCCCATTCGATGCTAGGCGACCATAATTGCTGAAGAATTATTTTACCGTTGATCAACAAAGGAGCTAGAAGCCCGAGTGGATCGAAAACTTGTGCTATTTTTGAAAACAACATCCGTTTAGTTATCGTTTGTGAGTTTGATATCTTGATGCTATACTGTAGACAATCTGATGCCGAGTTCCACAATAAGCCCAATGTTTTTAAAGCCCCCATCGTCGTCGATGAATAACAAGGTATCGGTTCTAACATTATCTGAAAGATGCCGAAGTATTCGTGGATCGTTTGACCTCCATTTACGAAGAGGAAATTGCCCGTTCATGAGAATTTGTGAGATATTCTTTTGCAACTTAATTGCATCGTCGAGTCTTCTCGATCCCGTTAAAATATCATCCATGTAACAATCTTCCTTAATGGTATGCGCAGCTTCTGGCAAATCGACAAGGTGCTCCCTCGCCAACTGTTGAAGACAACGCATCGCCAAATATGGAGCGCATGCTGTTCCATATGTTAATGTGTTCAGCTCAAAAACTTGTACTGGTTGACTCGAATCTTCTCTCCAGTGCATTCGCTGTAATACTCGATCTCGCTTGTCCACACGGATCTGTCTGAACATAGCCGCCACATCTGCGGTTAAAACGTATTCGTGCGTCCTAAAACGGAGTATAATGTTTATTAATTCCTTCTGTAAATTTGGGCCTGCCATTAATTTATCGTTTAGCGAATTCCCCGTACTCGTTTTGGCTGATGCATCGAATACAACTCGAAGCTTCGTTGTCACACTATCAGGTCGCACTACAGCTTGATGTGGCAGATAATGACTCCGATTCGAGTGCGTTTCCATTCGTCACCGCTGACATGTGTCCTTGTTGCTCGTAGTCTTGCATGAAATCCACGTAGCTCGCCCTTAACGTCGGGTCTTTACTCAATCGTCGTTCTAGCGCAATAAATCGCCGATATGCCGAATCTTTCGAATTGCCTAATTTCACGCTCATGCGTACTGGTAGACGAACAATAAACCTTCCTGTCTCGTCTCGTCTTGTAGTTTCGATAAACTTTGTCTCGCATTCTATGTCTTCTTTCGTATATTGACAGGCCTCGGGAATCGTTTCTTGTTTCCAAAACCGCTCGACTTGTTCACTCAATATTTGATCCGACACGTGCAGACAAGACGACGAAGAATTAGCTTCATCGTCGTTTGGAGAACCTCTTACTATCCAGCCAAGCTTTGTATTTTGCAACGCAGGTTGCCCGTTTATGCGATTTCGCGATGCGCCTAAAAGTATTTTCCAATATAATTCTGCGCCAATCAATAGATCAATCGATCCTGGTTCCTGGAAAATAGGGTCTGCCAGAGAAATATTCTTCGGTAACGTGATGCTATTCATTTCGATCCTTTTTTGCGGTAAATCTTCT